GACCTCTGAGTTTGAGGCCATCCTGGTCTACAGAGTTAGTTCCAGGACAGCCAGGGCTACACAGAGACACCCTGTCTCAGGGGAGAAAGAAGACTAAAAAGCAGGATGACAACTTCCAATTATTTGATTACTGCCTTTACAATTTGCCAGGAAAAATACAGACACTCATTGGGCAGTAGGACCTACTTGCTTTTCCAAATTATTTTAGAAATGTTCATTTTAAACTAGAGTGGGACTTCCATGTTCTGGCCCTGACCAAGACCCTCTTCCTTAGCCTCCTAACCCTCGATAATCCAACCTAGAGATTAGAGAGACAGAAAATTTAGGGCAACAAACCAAAATGTACTTTAACTGCTAAATCTAAAATTCTGTATTAGGCAATGGTACTAGCAAACGACTTGCAATTTTTGATTTTTATGGTAGGTAACTAAAGATATCTTAATTTAGGCTTGCTAATTATAAAGCACCCATCTTGCTGGGCTGTGGTAAGAGTCCTTTAATCCTAGCACCAGAAGGCAGAGGCAGGGGGATCTCAATGAGCGAGACCAGCTTCTTCTACATAGCAAGCTCTAGGGCAGCCAAGCCTACATAAAGAAACTCTTGTCTTAAAAACAAAACAAAAACAGTGACATCAAAGCCAAGACAGCAGCCTCAGGTGTCTGGGAAGAGTGAGCAAATGCTCACTCCTCCCTTTTCTCAAGGCAGTGCTCCCTTTGCTAGGAATGCACACATAAGCTTGAAGGTTTTTATACATGAGAAAGAATCTTAAACCGTATTTTGGCTCTTAGCTTGACACATCACTCTACAATAGAAAAAGTGCTTAGCTTTCAATTGAGTGTCTCTTCTACATAGGGAGAAGAAAATACTTTATGTAATTGCTTATGCAAGGAATACTTCAGTGTAATGAAGACAGCTAGTTTCTCTAATGTTAGCTCTTTACTAGAAACACATTTTCTCATTGAACTATTTTATTTAAACAAAACATACTGTAAAGCTTTCAATATTTTTTTTTGCCTAAAGTTAAATGATATAGATACCAAAAAAATCAGCCTGCACAATCTATTTATAGTCAACACTGTCACAAATTAAGAAAATTAAGTGGGATAAAAACTTACAGAAGTTCGTTCTCTTCCAATATCAGTAACGCCCATTGCTAACAACTGAAATACTTGGCAGACTCACACTGAAAATAATTTCAGGTTGGGCAGCTGGGACAAAATCACGACTAAACAGTTGCCAAATCCACCCTCACTTACCTAGTCTTATCATTACCTCCCCCAATAATGCCTCAAATAAAAACCAAGATGAGTCAAACACAAATTTCAAATACAGAAGCTAAAAGTCCTACTAACTGGGCTTATGAGCATCAGCCGCAGACACTGGCTATTCCATGCTCTCCCAGTGAGTAGCACTGCACTAAACCACTATGGCTATGGCCAGCCAGTGACCACCCTTCCTTCCTAGAAACTCACTTTACACTTTCCTTGCCTAAGTTACAGAAAGTTAGTCTTACATTTGGCAAACTACATATAAGCCAACTCTTTTCTCTAAAGTTTCCTTTCATCTTCTATAAAACCCAGACAGAGCCCAGACCTTTGCTTGGGATGTTACCTGATAGACAAGGTAGGGTGGCTTTTGTAAAACGCATTTGAAAAGTGTGGCATTAATTTTTAAAGAGATTCCTTTAGCCAAGACTCACCAAAGGTGTTTGAGGCAGGATCCCAGTATGGAACCCAGGCTGGTTTTGAAATTCGGCCTCGGCTTCCCATACCAGAATCACAAGATAAGTCTTATGCTCCTTTCTTTGCTTGCTTTCTTTTTGGTTCTAGAGAATGAACTTGGGGCTTTAACAAGTTAAACAGAAGTCCTATCATTAAGCTCTATCCCAGTCCCTACAATATGGTAATATATAATTTTCCAAGGGGCTATAGGAGAAAGTTTATCTGTTCATGGAACCCTTTTTATGAGACACCTCGTGGGATGAAAATTTGATGGAACACACTGGGAACAGCTGGTTTAACATCTTTTTTTAAAAAAAATTTACACATATGGGTATTTTGTTTGTGTACCCCGTGTCTGGGTAGCTTTCCAGAAGAGGGTGTCAACGTTCCCAGAACTGGAGTTACAGATGGTTGGGAGCCATCCACCATGAGTGCTGCGAATTTAACCTGGGTATCTGCAAGAACAGCAAGTGCTCTTAACTGCTGAGCCACCTCTCCAGCCCACGTTAGTTTCTGTAAAACAGCATGGAATCTGAATTTAAAATACTGATTCTATGGGGGTGTGTGTGCATGGTCTGAGTGATTTAAAAGTAAAAAGTATGTGGAATACAACCAACAGTAAGTGCATGCAGACATGTGCAGCCACCAAGCATATATGCTTCCGATTTCCCTAACTATTCCCATATACAAGCCTATTTTCTGTTTTCCAGATTTTAAAAAAATTAGGGAAATTATAATAAATCCGTATTTAAAAATCAGGATTAACCACCTCCAGTGGGTAAAATACTTGACTTGCAACCACGCCCATATTGAGGAAGAGTGGGGAGGATGCTATTTAAATAGGCATACACTATTTAAGCCCAGCACTAGCAGAATCAGGCAAATCTCCTGGGACTCACTGGCCAGGAAACCTACTCTGTGAGATTCAGATCAGTGACCCAGATGGCTCCTGAAGACTGACACTCACAACTGACCTCTGGTCTCTACATGCACACATGCCTACGTGAATGAGCATCTGAACTCATAAGCACACACGTCTACCCACACGAACAAAACAGAAACTCAAAACTACTTGAGAAACATTCCCCCCAAAAGAGACAGTATGCACCAGTAACCTAAGGTTATTTGTAAGGCACAAATGCTAAAAATGCATTGTCTGTATCTAAAATGTGACCAAAGATCATAAAATACGGTTAGCCCTGACTCTGAAACCTGTCCAGTTTCAGGTACAAGAGTCTGAAACTGGACAGCTTTAGTGAGAGCATTTTCCTCACTTGTGAAAGGTAGAATGCCCATTTCCTGTGGTTTTAAAGATTAGAAATAAGGGTCTAATACAATGCTGGTCAAGAGCAAACAGGTTCTCAATAACAGTCTCACTCTGTTGCCCAGGTTAGCCTTGAACTTGTGATCCTCTACCTCAACCTCCCAAGTAGCTGGGAGTAATGGCATGCCCAGCTCCTGGTATCATTTCTAAACTGAACAAACTCCAAGATCTACCCTCGTATCTACATTACTTGGTTAATGGAGACAGCTGGTTAAAAAGAAAATCTAGCCAAGGTGGGTGCTGGTGGTAGTGGTGCATGCCTTTAAACCTCAGTACTTGGGAGGCAGAAGCAGATGGATCTCCAAGTTAGAGGCTAGCCTGGCCTCCAGAGTAAGTTCCTGGACATAGAGAAACCCTATATCAAAAACAAACAAAAAAATCTGCACACAGGCCAATTTCATATTATATCCATTAAAATATGTATAGTGCATTCCAATTAAAGGGGAAATATTTAAAAATGAAAGTTTAGGGGGAACTAGCATTTTGCTCTACCCTTCAACTTAAGTTCTTAAATTAACAATCATTTATACTACCATTGCTCAAGTTTTAAACTACTGTCCCCACTGACTTTGTGATGAGTTAATGATCACTTGAGGTGATACAAAAGTGTTAAGTAGAGAAAGTAAAAATAAAGTCTAAAAAAATTTACAAAAGTACAGATCCAGTAGTAGCATGTGCATACTTGTGACCACACATACACCAGCAGCAGGCAAGCTGCATGCCATGGTGTATGTGTGGAGGTCAGAGGATAATTTGGGGGAGTTGGTTTTCTCCTCTGACCATGGTTCCAGATATCAAACTCAGGTTTATGTGACAAACTTTTTGACCTACTGAAGTCATCGTGTGGGCTCAGTCCCAACCACCATTCCATTGGCGATGGGGAACCAAACCCAGGACTTTAAACATACTAGGCAGATACTCGCCCCCTTCAGCACCATCTTTAGCCTATAAAAATTCACTATTTTCAACAGGCCCCCACAATGTCAGTTAGAACTAAAGATCTGATGAAGTACTCTGTGTCTCCAGGTTCTGACGCACGCACTCGTGGAGTCCACAGATGGATATTAGGTGTCCTCTTCAGTCACCATCAACCCTATTTTCTGAGACAGGGCCTTCACTGAACCTGGAGCTCACTGATTCAGCTATGCTCTAGAATTAGACATGTATGGCCATATGGAGCCTTGGAGTGCACAGCAAGCACTCTAATAAGTGAGCCATCTCTCTAATGCCCTGGGGGAACACTTATTTAGTTGTATTTGACTACCTGAAATCCTACAGACATGCTACTATATACTATAGTAGGCCTATCATACTCCTCCGAATAGGATCTTCTTTGCGAAACCAGAAATATTACTTGTGACTTTAAGTTTTAGGAAAGTTTATAGAAAACACTAAGAATCAGATGTTTAAGTCTTACCTTTTCTTCACTGTACAATAGGCTACTTTCACAGAAATAGAGCACACAACAGGAGGGAGAGGCTGGAGAGATGGCTCAGTTATTAAGAGCACTCACCGGATGCTCTTCCAGGACCTGGGTTCAATCCCTTACACCCGCATGGGAAATCATAACTTTCTGTAACTCCAGTTCAGGGGATCTGACAGACACCTTTGGCTCCCATAGGTACCGCACACAAGTGGTGCACAAACTTACATAGTAGTGCCCCCCCCCCAATAATAAAACAGTAATTTGAAAGGAACACAAAAAGATAGAAACTAAAAGCAGAGGTCTGGGTACATGAACATATTCACACATGTATATACAGACTGAATTTCCACACCCCACAAACAGGCTTAATTTACAAAGATGAGGTATACATTTCTTAGTGTGTACATCAGTGGTTCACTAGTTAAAATGTTAAGTTAGAATGCTGTAGTAACATTTCAGAACGACTCTGGTTTGATCCCATTAAACAAAGAAGACATTCCAAATAAGCATATTCTTCTAACAGCAAAGACTCTTCCCACTTTTTTTATTTTGACATCATAGTTCCATAAATTGAAAGTGGAAGATTGCTGCTCAATAAAAGCCATTTCATATATATAATATACAGAAGTTATTTTAAAAGTCTGTCATATAACAGATTCATTTGGTGCTACCAAAAACTTACGATACAAATAAATGACTACAAAGGAAATCATCACTAAACTAAGACACAAAGGAACTATTCTTTTCAGGGGAAAAAAAAAATCCAAATAATTTCTACCATGTTCAAAGAATCAAGTCCATCTGTTAAAGTGTGCATTATCATATTCTCTTAAAGCAGGAACTCCTCCGAATCTTTCAATTTAAAAATGTTCAGGCATAATTCTGTCTGTACATTCAGGAACAATCATATTCTGATTACATAAAAAGTTTTCATCGTGCAAAAAAGCCTAAGTTAATAGTTTTCTAAGGTCTAAAGTCAAATGAACTATTAGCAATTTCCTGACCAAGCTGTCAATCAGATGCACAGAGATCAGGCTGCTTAGCTGTCCTGCTGTGGTATGGATACTTCATTTATTTCCTTCATGTTTCAAACTAGCAGATGTCAAAGTGAGAATTCATTACTGCAGCAAATGACAGAGTAAGGGAGAAGTCTCTCACGTCCAACAGCCTTTGCCATCCTATAACAATCTTTACAATTGTAGGTATATAAGCAGAAGGGAGGAGGAAACAAGAGCAGGTTCAGACAGATATATAAATAAAGGGAAGGCTGAGCTAGCACACACTATTCAAAACCTCATCTGAAGTCTGCCCAGCCTACCAAAACAAGCAGAGCAGATGTCAGTGCAACTTTAACCTGGTAATTTATCTGAGTGTGGTTGGGAGTGGGGGAAACCAGTTGGATGGAAAAGATTTCATTCCTTTCCTTCTGAGAACAGAGAAAATCAGGAATTTTAAAGGTCATCAATCAGAAAATGAACAGTAACACTTTCTCAATTAGCCAAAACAAGCTAAAGATAAATGTTAAAAATATCTTTCTGTCTATTTATCCACCCATATATCCCACTGTACCAATAGGCTTTTGATTAAAATAAGAAAAAACATCAAACTACTCTTCAAACATTTTATAAGAGGTATCATCTAGAAGTGACAAAAATAAATTAGTTTCCCCCAATGACATTATTTAATATCTAAAGCATAAAAAGCTATATAATATATACAAATTAACCAGTGTTCTTACAAAAGTAAAGCAGTTTTGCACTAATGACATTACACTGTATTTCTGGTGAAATATGAGGCACAAGAATATATGCATTAATTAGGCATTGTCTGTCTAACCAGTCTCTATGGTTATCACTTAATTCTTGGCAATATATAACTGGTGTGTATTTTGGTATGTAAGTCACGAATTGTAGAGAACAAGAAGCAGTGTAGTATAGTAACAAGGTCTGTATTTGACAAATGACTGCATTGTTGAACACATTTCTTTTATGAACTTTGTGATTTGTTTTGCAGATGGCCACTTGCAGTAGATCCTGCAAAAATAAAAGAAGAAAAAAATCAGTCTAATTTGCTATTATGGTTTGAATATGAATTGTCTACAGGCTCATGTGCTGAGGGATCGATTCTACTTTGAGAGGTACTAGAAAGGAGAGAGAGCTTAATTAAGCTGGAGGAATGGGAGACTGTCCCAGTGGCTACACTGTACTCTGGCCCTCCTAGCTTCCTGGTCACCACAGGCCCACAGTGACAGAGCCTAGTATACATGGACTGAAAACTCAAGACACTGTGAACCCTTCCTCCAATCCTCTTAGGTGGTTTCCTCAGATACTTATTAAAGCAAAGAAAAACTATGACCAACTCTGAAATTACCTGATTTTAAACACCTTTTCCCTGGCATGGCTAATAAGCAAATATAAAAACTTTAATAAATCAGTAAGGTGTGCTTCATGTAGGTTATATAGACGGATTTGAAAGACCCTAAACATACCATTAAATGTTATAAAAGCAGGAATGTATGTGGAGATAGGACAAATGGGTTTCAGAATGGACGCTGGTGTGAGTAACCACAGGAGGAAAGCTGTTTTACACAGCTCCAACTATTTGATACTAAAAAAAAAATCACATCACCCGACAATTATACAATACCAACTTTAGAAATAAACGGAGGCATGAAGCAAAAGAGTAGATGAGGGAAACTGCCCATGTTTTAAAAGTACTAAGTTTTACAGAACATGGGGCTTTAAAGGTTGGTTAAGAAGTATTAAGACCCAAAGAGTAGATGAGAAACTTGTTTTCAACCATCCTTGTGCACTCGTATGATGCCATGAGAGTTATACTCCTATGTGAGGGTACTTTAGTTTCTACTTCAGAAAACTCAGGAACTAATACAAAACTTTATATTCTAGTATACTTGCCTGGGAAAATAATCTCTATATATACAGTCTATGAAGTTTAATGTCTTATAAGCAGAGATGAAGAAAAGTTAATTTTCAAGAGCCATTAGATACAGATTAGTGCACCCTAATCGTCATCAGAGAAACATCCTTATGTAGCAGAGTGCTTAGTATACAGACCCCCACAACTGACCAGAGGCTAGCCCTAAAAGTGACATCTTTGTCACTCCCTCAAGGCTCAGGGAACACAGAAGCAGACTGGCAAGAACCAAAAGCTAGGGAGACTGCTGTGAATAGTGTTTTCTGAACATGACAAGGCCATCATACCCAGGAACTCAGAGCAGCTGTGGTTGCATGCTAACATCAAGCCAGTCAACATTCCAGTGTGCATGGAGGAGGGGGTCACAAACTCCCCACATTGGCAGCTGATGGCTTTCTTCAGATGTTGCCCACGTTCCAGTGGATGACCTTACACTTATGCACATGCAGGCAGCATGAACTGGATTCCGTGGGTTGAAAGGACATTAAGTTGGGAAGGGGTGTGGCTGGAGGTAGTATGGGAGGAGTTCAAAGACCTGGGGAGCAGATATAACCAAAATACAAGTAAAATTCTCAAAAAATAAAAATGTTTCTGGGGGGAAAAAAAAGCTATGGAGAGAGGGAGTGGGAGAAAAGAGAGATTAAGATTGATTTTTCTTTATTCTTTAGTCCTTGTGTTGAGTTGGGGGAAGAATTTCAGCAGCAAATGAGGAATGTTCCTGACTTGTTACAGCACAGAAGAGCGGGCAGCAAAAGTGAAAGTCTGAAGGAAGCTGATGAGAAGTTACTTGAGGGGCTGGAGTGGGAAACAAAGGCGTCAGGGCAATTAGGAGACATTAGATGTTTGCGAGCGCTCTACCACTGAAGTGCACCTCAGTTCCTAGTGTTTGATCAATTAAAAATAAATAATAGGAAGAGAAAGATTTAATGACTGCTAGGATGGAGTTTGCTCAAGTTAAATACTGTAATCCTGACACTATCACGAGACAGTGACTCACTATTTCATATTACAGAATTACTATTCCATAGTAAGCACCACAGATAAATTACACTGCCACAAAAAACAAAAAAACAAGCACAGGAAAAGGTTGTGAATATATACAACATCTTCAATCATGAATAAAGATGGACAGAACAGTCACTGCATTTTTGAGACAGGCCATGCTCTCTAATCCAGGCTGGCCTGAAATCACAGCAATCCTGCAGTCAACACTAGTGCTGGATTTACAGATATGTGCTCACCTTACAGATACCTGGCTCACCTTTGTTAAACACAGAATAGTAAGTGACAAGAACTAGGGGCTGGGGTATATACTTCAGTAGTAGATATATATATAAGGCCCTGGGTTTGATCCTGTACCTCAAAAACAAATGAAATAAAATATATTCCCTATGACTATAATTGCTAGGCTGCAGAAAGCAGTCTAAGACTTAAAGAAATGACAAAAGAAAAGTTGGATGTGATGGTGGGCACTTGGAACCCAGCGCTTAGAGGCCAAGGGAGGTGGAGTAGAGTAAAGTTGTTGTGGGCTTCACAGCTTGGCTCTATCTCAATTTAAATTTAAGGGGGAAAAAACAAAATAAAAAAAGTAGTCAAAAAATATAACAGCAACACTGCAAAGATGACGTACTTTTTGTATCTACAGGAATGTCAAAACAAATCTTCCATACAAAAAAACATGGTTTTTGAGCAAAACATGTCAGTTCGTGTTTGTTATCCCAGTACTTGGAAGAGTACAGACTAAGACAGGAAGATGTGATTTCAAGACCAGCAGTGTCACATGACAGACCATCCCACCAAAACCAAAACCCCACATAAAATACCCACAAACAATAGTCCCCAACAAAAAACAAAAACTGCTTTCTTTAAATGAGTTCTAATAGTATGAGTGAGGCTCTGGGTTAAATTTTCAACACTACAAAACAAAACAATAAAAACAAGTAAAACGCTTTAAACTTTAATTTAGATTTTCTTGTTAAATAAAACATGACTTCATACAGTCAAGCAAAATATCTTTAAAGCCAAGTAAATAAAAAAATATGGTTTTATAAAATTAATTTTAGGCATAAATTTATTTTGAAACTGAACTCAAGGATTAAGCTGTAGAAACACTGATACAATCTTCTGAAGGATTCCAGAAGCTCCAGCGAAGGAAGCACACTATCTTAGGCCTAGTGACGCTGCTAAGGCACCTGACCTTGATTTGACTCTTCAATATTCATGCTGTTTCCATCTGCAGTCTCTGACATTTCTTCGTCATCATCATCATCATCATTCAGGTCTTTTGAAATTAACTGTCTAGCTAATTTAATATTCAGTCCTTCGTTGTAGTGAAGCTTCCTTTTCATTTCAAACTGTCGCTTCTTTTCTGTAAAAGATTTGAAAGAGGACTGTGAGCTTAGGTCTCCACTTGGGGACTGGTCAAGCCTGTTCTGTCAGAGTCCACTGTGTAGAATACAGTTATATTCACTTCAATTTACTTGAAAGTTGTTGCTGTCAGTTCAAGACTATTTCTGTGCTCAATGGCCAAGTCTAGTAGTTAGTAGTAAGATTATACAGCCCACAAAATCTCAAGTATTTAATTTGTGATTCAAATATAGATCTTAATCAATGAATAGAAATGGACAAAGCTTTTAGAAATTCTGTGAAGAAAATTTAAAGATACAAGAAAACTTTGTAGCAATAGTATAATCAGATGTATGAAGACTGCAAAAACCCCTACATTTCTGTAAGCAGCCCAAGATGAGCTACATCTCCTAATTCCTCTGCCTCCTAAATGCAAACATTCTAGGCATGCACCAGGGCTGGCAAGACAGCACACCTGGCTCACATGGTGAAGAGAAAGATCATTTCCTGGAGACTGTCCTTTGCCCTGCACCCGGGCACGCACACACGAGCACAGCATAAATACAATGTGCAAACAAATAAAAGCAAAATAGGCACACACCACACCTGATTATGACTTCTACTTTCACTAAGGAAAAAAATCCTCTTAAAAATCCTTATCAGTTTAAAAAACTCCTATGACTTTAGAAACATAATTAGTGGCAACTCAACACACCTGCCACATTTTATTCACTGAACTGCTCATGAAGAAATAAAGAATTCTAAGATTTGAACCCAAGCACCCATATAAAAAGCCAAACATCCTGTAGCAGGCACAAGCATAAACTTACACTGAAACACAAATACAAAAAATAAACTTGCTGCCTTAACCACCCCCACCCCATGTGTGCTCACAACCACCAGTAACTTCAGTTCCACGGGGATCTAGTGCCCTCTTCTGGCCTTTTTGAGCACCAGGCACAGATGGGGTACACTTCCATACAATGTAGGTAAACATTCATACACACAAAATAAAAGTAACTTTAAAATGAATTAATAAAATAAAGCTGTCGATGAAATGAATTAAAATTCCATCATCCTTGCTTTATCGATGATTTTAATCTCAAAACAGCACAGCCATCACCAAAATAAGGATATTCAAAGTTCCTAAGATCTAATTCCCTTCAAATGTTATATTATTACCAAGTGTTCTATTATTAAGATCTTGTCAATCATTATTTATTTTTCTCTGCTTATATAAAATACTTCTGAGCCAGAAGGCGGGAGCACACCTTTAATTCCAGGAATCAGGAGATAGAGGCAGGCAGATAGAGTCCGAGGCTAGCCTGGTCTAATGAGTGAGTTCCAGGACAACCAGGACTACACAGAGAAACCCTTGTCTCAAAAAACAGCATACAAAAACAAAAGCAAAAAAATCACATTGGAGATGGGAGGAGGGTCATCTCACCATACTGTTCATATTGGTCTTGAAATTGTGGGCCCATCAGTCCTCCTATCTCAGCCTTCTCAGTAGCTAGGTTCACAGGCATGTACCAGAGCAGTTAGGTATCTTTAAATATTCAGATGATGTGAAGGCAAAGCAAATATCCACCTACATCTTAACTCACCAAAGTAATACCTTCTCAGAAATTGTAAAATGAAATTAACTTCCAATAACCTCACTCAAAAATGGAGACAGAGATGGCCAGATTCCTTGCCTAGTATTCATGAATCTAATCTTCAGACTACAACAAAACAAAGCAAGACACCCAGAGATCATTAACATTTTTTTAGCTAGATTTTTTTTTTCTAAAAATATGTTTTTACAGCCAGGTAGTGGTGGTGCATGCCTTTAATCCCAGCACTTGGGAGGCAGAGGCAGGTGGATCTCTGGGAGTTCAAGGCCAGCCTTGTCTACAAGAGGTAGCCCTGGGACAGCTAAAGATGCTACACAGAGAAACCCGTCTTGAAAAACCAAAATAAATAAATAAAAATTAATATATATATATATACATTTACATACATACACACACACACAACTACAAAACTGAATCACATTTTAAGGCATAGTTTGTTTCTGCACTTACTACGCTGTTAACACAATCACATATCCAAGTTTATCCAAGACAGACTCAATGTCATTTCAACTTTGTAAAAAGTTTCAAGGTAGTGAGATATAATCACCTACTCCAAGTCAAAGCTTTCTGGTTTCTCACTATATTAGCAATGCTTTTTATGATATAACTTATACATAGTTTTTATGTATTCTATTATTTTCAACATAAATATAAATGCACATTACTCTTTGTAAGTCACAAAATATTTTAAAAAATGAAATATATTGTTTAGGTTGTAATGATCACAAAACATTAAACATAAGTAATGTCTTGTGATATTTTTACTTTTGAGATATATGTAGTTACTGGTAATGCCTGAAACAATTCTCATACTAATCCATAGAATATGAGCAGCCTCCTCTCCCATATTCACACTAAAAATAAAACTGTCCTTCCCCACCTTGTAGTATTGGGGACTGAATCCTGGGCTCAAGTCTTTTTTGTCTCACTATGTGGCCCTGGCAGGCATGGAATTCTCTATTTGGACCAGTCTGGCCTTGAACTCATAGTGATCAGTCTGCTTTTGCCTCCCAAGTGCTAGAATTATCCCTAGAGTATTTACTGATCAATTAGAATACAAAATGACCAGTGCTAAGTGCATTAAATACTTCATTTCATTTAATAATCACCAACAGCTTAGTCTGTTTGTTTGAGATGGGGGAGTCTCACTAAACTTCCCAGGTTGGTCCTGAACTTGAGGGCTCAATAGATCATTATGCCCCAGCCTCGTAACTCTAGTACTACAGATATGTACTGTCAAACACAGAACTATTTTTTTTTTAAATTAGCCAACTTAAAAAAGCATCAGACTTGGAACATAAAATCATATTTCTCAGACTCCACAACTAATAATTTTAATTACTGTAATATACATTAGATTTATCTTAACAATATCTGGGCTAGCCAAGTGTAGTGGTGCACTCAGGAGGCAGGGGCAGACAGATCTCTGTGAGTTTGAGGCCAGGTTGGTCTACCTACTGAGTTCCAGGACAGCCAGTACTGCCTAGTGAGACCCTGTCTTGGAAAAAATCAAAACAATAAAAAGAGAGTATCTGCACTGTTAAAATGGCTCAGCAGGTGGAAGGTGCTTGCTGCCATGACTACCCCACACAGGGAACTGACTCCTTATTAGCTGTCACCTGACTGTATCATGTGTCAGCTCAAGTGCCCATACATACACATAAAATAACAAATATGTCTTTAAAAAGTGGTACTTATTGACAGCTATAAGCCTAGTACTGGAGAGCCCAGGCAGAGGATTGCTATACGTTCAAGGCAAGACTAGGCTACTGTTTAAGACCTTGTCTCAAAAAAAAAAAAAAAAAAACCAAAAAAACAAAAAAGTCACCTGTAAATTCAAAATGTTTTCTAGACATGTAAATATTTAAGGGGAAAAACGCCTATATAATTTAGTAATTCTATTAGTAGCCCCCGGTGCTATTTATTGTCAGAGTCTCTCTAATGCTGATAATGAGCTTGGGCTGAGATCTGCCGAACAGCTTCACTAGGGCTACCCAAGTGTTCTTCCACCGAGCTACATTCTGAGCTTTTGATTTTTTCTACAAAGAGAATGAGAAACACAGGGCGATGGTGACACACCAGACCAGCCTGGTCTACAGAGTGAGTTCCAGGATAGTCAAGGCTACACAGAGAAACCCTGTCTCGAGTTCCTCCAACCCACCCCCTAAAAAAAAGAGAGGATGGGACAACTATGTATAAGTTATCCCTCAGTACCTGAGGGATTGGATCCTGGACGTCTAAGGGCATCAGAATCTATAAATGTTCAAATCCTTCATGTACATGGTGTAGTATTTGCATATAACCTTCACACACTGAACGTGTTCAGTCATTTCTAGGTTTAATGCTATGTAAATAGTTGCTGTGCTATACTGTTAGGGAATAATGACAAGAAAATCATGTTTATCCGAGTTCAGTATGGGTTCATTTTTCTTCCCTCAAACGTTTCTGAATCATTGTTGGTTAAATGTGCAGGTGTTGAACCTGCAGATACCAATGGCCAACAGGGTATTTTATATTCTTTTATATAAACTAAAAATATTTATTTTTTAAATTGTGTTTGTGTGCCCAAGGCTAAAGTTAACAGCAATTGTGACCCATTGACATAGTTGCTCAACTTCGGTCCCCTGGCAAAGCAGTACACATACTTTACCACTGAACCATCTCTCCAGCCAAATTTTATCTTGAAAAGCTAATACATTCAGATGGTTCAAAAAGTATAAAAAATAGTAAGATAAAACATATTCCTATCAGACCAGTGTTCCATGCAAACAAAAAACACAAAGGCAGTAGTGCCTCAACTACACATGTTCTGTCTGGAGCACAAGAGCCTCTTCCATCCTGCAATGAGGGCTTCTCTAGCTTCTCTTCTAAGACATCACTACTCTGTGCTCCATGAGACCTATACAATTTTCATTCTATATTTTATCATCCTGGATCTCTAGATAAATTTCACTGTCTTTTTTTTTCTTCGACACAGGATCTCGGGTAGCTCTGGATGACCATACATCTACTACAGAATGAGGTTCTGAACTTCTGCCTTTATGTCTCTAGTTTTGTTATAAGAGACAACACAAACAGTTCATTTGTGCCAAGGCTCAAACTCAGGGCTCTGTGCATGCTATTTAAGCACTCTCCAAACTAAACCACATCCCCAGTCCTGCATCACTACTATCTTAAAACAGAAATGGCACAAAGAAGGCAATCTATCCACTTGAAGATCATTCAAATACTCAATGACACTAAAAGAAATAATTTCATAAGTAGTTACTGAGTTTCTTTTTATTGGGCACCAAAAAATACAAAGAAAGGAATATCTACAAATACTTGGACGACAGTAGTATTTTTTGCACCTTCTTTTAATCAAGGGGGCAATACTATTACACGAAAAACTCACATATGTAGATCTGATTTACAGGTTCTATTTTTACTGCTTTTTGTTTCCTGCCCACTTCCCAACTATGAAAGTAATTTTCCAATCTTCAAATATACTTATTTTTCACAAAAATTATTAGCATCGCACTGAAGGCAGCTGCAGGAATTACCTACCTCGCTCTTCAGGGGAGAGATCATTATCTTCCTCTCCACTGCTTTCTTGTTCCCGAACCCGATACTTTGGCTCAGAGCCTTCAGCAGCAGCTAATCTATAAAATATTTATGAATAAATTAGTAACTGTGACTTGTACTATTTAAATGTCTCATTCAACTTGAGTCATGGAAATACTTCAAAATCATAAATAACTATTCTACCTACAAGTGATGAAGAAAGCAAAAGGAAAAGTAGGGATGGATATAAGCAACAAGGACAGCAGGGTAGGTGCTAGAAATCAATGAACAACAGGAACTTATGTTTGTTTTTCTCACATCTTTACCATGTAGGTGGCGGGATATGAACAGACTAAGTATTCACAGGGTCAGGCACTTTAACCTTGCTACCTCCTGTTTAGATTGATATTAATCAAGAAACAAGATTGCAATAATTGCTATAAAAATCTAGTTAGGGGCCAGGAATCTTACTCAGTGGTAAAGTAAGTATTTACTACATAGCCCTGGGTTCAATTGTCAGTAAAAACCTAAACCTAGGTAAGTTTAGTCTTTTGTTTATAAATGTACAAGCAGAACACAGCAAATGTCTTTGACTTTGCACAATTAAAACTCCCCACAGAAATGCTTTAGTACTTACTTCTTAGCTAAGATATCTGGAGTCATGACTTCGTTGCCTTCCGAGTCACTATAGGCATCTTCATCATCACCTATCATACTAGGATGACAAGCATGTTTCTATTAACAAGCACATTATTAAAACTGATACATGAAATAAAATTGTACCGCTAGAAAAACAAGACTGAAAACAAAATTTTATTAATTAAAGTAACAATTTATTTACAACTTTGTTGTCATCTTTGAAATTTAACTTTAAAATAGTTTCTATTACACATGTTACTGGGCTGGGAATGTAACTCAGTGGAGTCTTTGCCACACATGCATAAGGTCCCAGAGCTCAAGGCTCAGGCATAAGGAATGATAATATAAGTTTAGTAAGAAAAAAAAAAGCAACCATACAATACTGAAAACTCAAATTATCTGGGGGAAAAAAATAAAAATGTCAATTTTCTATCCAATGAGGCAGATGGACAAATAATGCAAAATAACCCACTTATTGGATTAGTATTTTGAGAGGGAAGAGTCCTGCTGTGCAGCCCAGCTGGCCCCAAATTTGTGACTACTGGAATTACAATTAGGCAGTGAGAATGCTGAGCTGGTTTAGAATTTGTGTTTATATAGCACCATTAAGGAAGAAATGGTCTACACAGACGTACGACTAGGAAAAATAAACAGATCCTACGGTGGGTAATCCTGGCTGTCTACTTCGCTGGATTAAGAAATGCACAGAGACAGAGCCAAATGTCCTCTCCTATGTGGAAACCCTCCAAAGAGCTTCCCAAGCAGGATGCAGGATAGAATCAGGAGTGCCCACTGCACACAAGCTTCTCCTCTACTCTTGAGATTTGGGGAGGGGCCATCTGTAGCTCTTTCACATCCTTCCAACTATCTCACTCAACAGCCAACATGTGAACAAATCTATGAGAGACAAAGAAAAATGAAAACAACAAAAGTACCCAGGGAATTAGTAAAGCTCAGCTCCAGGGAATTTGTGATCACAGTCTCAGACAGTATCAGACCATGAAGACTCTGATAAAATGAGAGATAAAGCTTCTGGATTCAGGATGGCATTAGTAGAAATTTGTGCAAGGCAGGAGGTAGGACCTAGTTGCAAGGAAAAAAGTCACTGACTTCACTGATTTTTTTTTTTTTTTAAAGAAAGAACATAAAGTTGGTGAGTAGGGAGGTAGAGGACCTGGAAGAAATTAAGGAGGGGAAAGAATATGATCAAAATATATGGAATTCTCTGCAGTAGTAAGAGCAGCGGGGCTGCGTCACCAGCTCCCCGGCCGCCTCACTAGCTTATGCCCCGAAATAATTACACGGACACTGTATTCTTTTAAACACTGCTTGGCCCATTCTGCTCTAGCCCTTAGTGGCTAATTCTGATATCCGGATCAACCCATCTCTAATAATCTGTGAGCACCAGTCTTACTGGGAAGATTCTAGCCTATGTCCATCCTGGGTCAGAGCTTCATCGCGTGGGCCTGCCCGGGAGCAGGGCATGGCGTCTCTCTCTGAGGCGTCTTACCTCACTTCCTCTTTCTCCCAGCATTCTGTTCTATTTACTCCACCCACCTATGTTCTAAGCTATGAGCCCAAGCAGTTTGTTTATTACGTAACCAATGAAATCAACAGATTGATATATGACACTCCCACATCAATTCTCAAAAAACATGAAAAGAATTTTAAAATTCTCTACTACACATTCCCTCTGATGATGTTCTACCCCCAGTGCATAGGGTCAAGCTACCACAGACAGACACCAGCATCCTTTGGAGCCCTGAGTCAACAAAAATGGAAATCCCTCCTCTGGAGTTCTCTTCTGCCAGTTACTTGGTCAAAGCAACAAGAAAGTAAACTAATACTGACCCTAGAGACCTAATGAATAAAAACCTGCTGGTTATACATTTATCCAAGGAAACGTGAAATAAACCCACAGTTAGGATTTAAGTAGAGTAGAATATAAGAAATATAATTTGTTGACTTGGAGCAATGTTCAACAGAAAATTATGGGTTAGAATGAATTGTATGTATATATAAAAGAATATAAACCACCAACGAGATTTTTAGTTTAAAATGATCTTTTTAAAAAAAAAATTTTGCTATTGTTGTGAAACAAAACAAAACAAAACCAATCTCATGGAAGTAACAAGAGCACTGAGTGCTGAATTGACAAAAGCTAACTACTCTATGCATACACAAGCCTGCTAGTGACCAAGATACACTTCTGCAGCTCTACAGTGAGGATATATGGGTACGGAAGAACAAGATACACTTCTGCAGCTCTACAGTAAGAATATATGGGTACGGAAGAACAAGATAGACTTCTGCAGCTCTACAGTGAGGATATATGGGTACGGAAGAACAAGATAGACTTCTGCAGCTCTACAGTGAGGATATATGGGTACGGAAGAACAAGATACACTTCTGCAGCTCTACAGTAAGAATATATGGGTACGGAAGAACAAGATAGACTTCTGCAGCTCTACAGTGAGGATATATGGGTACGGAAGAACAAGATACACTTCTGCAGCTCTACAGTGAGGATATACGGGTACGGAAGAACAAGATACACTTCTGCAGCTCTACAGTAAGGATATATGGGTACGGAAGAACAAGATACACTTCTGCAGCTCTACAGTAAGAATATATGGGTACGGAAGAACAAGATACACTTCTGCAGCTCTACAGTGAGGATATATGGGTATGGAAGAACAAGATAGACTTCTGCAGCTCTACAGTAAGGATATATGGGTACAGAAGAACAAGAAGAAATGCAACACCAAATGTCTACCATTCAGATTTCACTACATTTTAAATGTTATTAGGAAAAAACAACAACAACAAAAAGCCACCCATTCCTCCCAAGTCATGTCTGATCTGAGTTATTTTAGGACAGCTATCCTCGGTGAGGGGTGGCTACCCGCTTTACTGAGAAGGAACAATATCCCGACTTTGGATTTGGTTTAATAAAGGGTTTGAGATATAAAGTATACCCTGTAATTAAGAGGAAAGGGGTATGAACTTCCTTAAATTCATCACTATTTAGTTTTATTATCTGTAGCTTCTGTTTCACTCTTTCTGTCACAGATTTTAACATTTTCACGTGTATCTGGGCTGTTTCTGTTAGCATCACATTATCTCCCTAAGTCCTGCTCATTTAAGATAGCATTTTCGTTGTTGATGTAACTCACATCTGACATTCACAAAGCTCTGAGTTTAATCCATGAGAACACATAAACGGGGCATAGTCCTGTAATTCCAGTACTAAAAATATAGGCAAGAGGATCAGAAAATCAAAATCTTCCTCAGCTACGTAGTAAGTTCAAGTCTAGCCTGGGTTTCATGAAACCCTGCATGACTTGGTTGCACAGTGGTGGTGCACGCCTTTAATCGCAGCACTTGGGAGGTAGACGCAGGCGGGAAAAAACGAACAAAAAAAGCACATGACTTACAGATTTATTTGGTCTTACTTTGATTAAAAAAAAACTTATTCCTGAAAATATTTTTCAATATAGATTAAGTTCTAATCTTAAGTGTTCTACTTATTTAGAATCTGTATTGTCTCATAATGCTTATTATTGCATTATTTTTGTCTCTTTTTGGATATTGATTACAATACCACTTCACAATTATATTTTAAATTTTTTTTAAATTTTTAAAGACTTATTTATTTATTATGTATACAATATTCTTCCTATATGTCTGCCTGCAGGCCAGAAAAGGGCACCAGATCTCCTTACAGATGGCTGTAAGCCACCATATGGTTGTTGGGAATTGAACTCAGGACCTCGGGAAGAAGGAGCAGTGCTCTTAACTGCTGAGCCATCTCTCCAGCCCTATATTTTAAAATTTTAACTGGACCTAATGGCTCACACCCTGTTATTTCAGCACTCAGGAGGCTGATGCAGAAAGACTACTCTGGCTTCAAGGCCAGCTTGAACTATATGGTAAATTCTAGCCAGCCTGAAATACAATGTGTGATCATATCTTAAATAAAAAAAAATAAAAATTCTGAAATTTATAACTGCCAAATCCATACTATCAAAACTACAACACCATACAAAAGAATACAAAACTATCCCTTCCATGTAGTTTTCTTCCTTTTTCTTTTCTTTTTTTTTTTTGCAAGGAAAGCCTCCGATTTCTATTTGGGGAACAAAAAAACCCCTCAAATCTCATCTTCCTTTCAAAATTTGGAGCTGGGAAGATGCTTTAGCAGTCGAAAGCACTTGCTGCTGCCAGGACATGAGGTGGAGTCTCAGCGCTCACATCAAGTAGCTCACACCACCTCCACTCCAGCTCCACGAGACCTAACTTCAGTTTGTGTTCTCCTCAGCACTTCCACACATCATATATACATACACACAAAAATAAAAATCACAGCAATGAAAAAGAAGACAAAGCTCACTTATTTGTGTGTATCAGCAGCTAGCCACCATCCAGGTGCAATAATATTTATTCACTACTACAACAATAATGTGTGTGAAGTTACACAGTATTAACAACAAAAATGTACTCAGGGAGACCATTAGCTAGCACTCTGGCATGAAATATAAAACCCCTTCTGAATGGAGATGGAGGAGGAGAGGGTGGGTGGGGAGGTAGAAGGGAGGTGCTAGAGGGAATGAAAGAAGAGGAGGGAGGGGAAACTGTAGTTAGTATGTAAAATAAAAAAAAATGAATCATGAAAAAATATTTCTCCAAACACACACACAGAGAAATATAAAACAGATTTAAAGTTTCTGTCATTTAGAAATTATATCAATGCAAATGGAAACAAGCCACAAGAGATACTATGTCTACATTATATACCTGTGGCAAGGAGTGTTTGGCTCATCTATTTTCATCAAATGGAAACAAGCCACAAGAGATACTATGTCTACGTTATATTACCTGTGGTAAGGAGTGTTTGGCTCATCTATTTTCATCAAACCATAGTCTTTGTCAGCTGGATGATATGTTGCCAGGATGTTCATTTCATCCCACTTCTGGGACTTTTTGCTGAAATTAAAAGGGGGGGGGGGAAGCATTTAGTATACATATTAAAAACAGCAAGCACTGATACACAGAGAAGTCCTGTCTCGAAAAACAAAAACAAACTAACAACAACAAAAAATTGTACATGTCTACACTTAGCAGGTGAGTCTGACTTCATGTTCTCTTATTTTCTAACCTTCAGATTAAGAATATCACATTTTCACTGTGATAAAATGTACAAAATACAATTTTAATAAATTATGAGTATGCTTCCTGTGGCACTAGTTATTCGCACTACTTGCAATCAGCCCTACTATCTAACACACAGATGCAACTGAAATTATATCCATGAAAAAAACTACGAAACAGCATGAAATATAAACAATATTTAAGATGTGGAATAGGGCTCAAGAGATGACTCAGTAATGAAGAGGTTCTTGTGGAGGACCCAGGTTTCAGCTCCCATTATACCCGTGGAGGCTCACAACCATCTCTAACTCCAGTTCCAGAGGATCAACACAGTCTCCTGGCCTCCAAGGGCATTGCATACAGTACACACACAGGCAAGCAAACACACCCAAAAAGTAAAAATAACGTTTATGATTTTAAAATTTTTGGTTAAAAATTCTAAAACAAAATTTCAATTTCACTTGTCATAGTAGAGAATGAGTTTAAAAAAGAAGTTTCAATTACTTTCATGCTCAGTTTCATCCACCTTTTTCTATAACAAGACTCAATTTTTAAAAATATTTGGCTGAAGCCAGGTGGCGGCAGCGCACACATTTAATCACAGCACTTGAGGCAGAGGCAGAGGAGTCTGTGAGTTCGAGGCCAGCCTGGTCTACAAGGTGAGTTCCAGGACAGCCAGAGATAAACAGAGAAACCCTGTCTTTAAATTAAATTATTATTACTGTCTGCATATGTAAGGGGGTTAGATGAGGGGTCAAAGGACAAGCTGAAAAGGTCAGTTCTCTCTTCCATCTTTTATGTGAGCTTAAAGGATTAAACTTGTGGGAGGAACTTGGGTTGTCTGGGTTGCATGGCAAAAATATCTTTAAAACAATTAAACTGGGGCTGGAGAGATGGCTCAGAGGTTAAGAGCATTGCCTGCTCTTCCAAAGGTCCCGAGTTCAAGTCCCAGCAACCACATGGTGGCTCACAACCATCTGTAATGATATCTGGTGCCCTCTGCTGGCCTGCAGGCATACATGCCAGATAGAATATTGGATACATAATAAATAAATATTTTTTAAAAAAACAATTAAACTGGCCTTCTATTTCAGCCCGCTACTACATCTGTTTTAAAATTATTAAATATTATTTGCTTAGAAAGCAAATAATTCAGTTTGTTCATGGACACATCCGAAGGAAGCTCACAGTGAAAAGAAACACACCTTTAAAGAATTAAGAGAGAGCCGGGCGGTGGTGGCGCACGCCTTTAATCCCAGCACTCGGGAGGCAGAGGCTGGTGGATCTCTGGGAGTTTGAGGCCAGCCTGGTCTACAAGAGCTAGCTCTGGGACAGGCACCAAAGCTACAGAGAAACCCTGTCTCGAAAACCCAAAAAACAAAAACAAAACAAAACACAAAAAAAAGAATTAAGAGAGAGTTGTGGAATACTACTAACTATGTAAAGGTGTTACATGTATTTATGCTGCACTGTGAAACTATGTACAGATGTGCCGCATTTGTTTCACCTTGCCTGCCTAAGCCCCTGATTGGTTTAAAAAAGGGTTAACGGTCAATAGGCAGGAAAGGGTGACGCCCTGGGCCAGCCAGTCAGCCTCAGAGGAAGCAAGAAAATTAGGACAAAATGAAAGGTAAAGAGCCCTGAAACAAAATGTAGATGAAGAGAAATAGGTTAAATTAAGTTATAAGGGCTAGTAGGACAAGCATAAGATAAGGCTGAGCTTTCATATCCGTGTCTAGATTTGGGAGCTGGTTGGCAGTCCAAGAAAGTTGCTACACAAAAGGGCTGCAGAGATGCCTTGCTGCTCTTCCAGAGGGCCCAGGTTCCATTCTTAACATGGTGGCTCAACTGTAATTCCATTTTCAGGGGATCCAATGCCCTCTTCTGACCGCCAAAGACATCAGGCATACATGTGGTACACAAATATACATGTAGGCAAAATTCCATACACTTGAAAAACAAAAATATATAAATAGAAGCTAATTTTAATTTAAAAGATTTAAAACAGAAAAACAATTCTGATACTAATAATGAAAAAGAATTGATATTGATTTATGCTTTAAGAGTAAGCTCCAGGGATCCTTCCTGTCTCCACCTCAACACAATGAAAACAGGCACATACTACTATGTCCTTTTCACAGGAGCTGGAGATCTGATCTCAGTTCCTCGTGCTTGTGCTTTAGAAACTGAACCATTTCCCTAGCCTCTAGTACAGTACTTTTTCATTGTTTGAGACAGGGTTTCTCTATATATCCCTAGCTGTTCTGGAACTAGCTCTGTGGACCAGGCTGGACTCACAAGATCTGCCTGCCTCTGCCTCCCAAGTGCTGGGATTAAAGGCCTGCAAGACCACTGCCAGCATGTATAGTATTTTCTTAAGCTCTAAATTTACATTTAACACAGTTTTCTGAATGTGAATTATGATTAGATATATTAAAAATATTAATGACTTAGCTGGATGCTTTCTAATCTCAAAACAAAACAAATGATGATAACAATGCTAAATGACGTTAAATTTCTAAATGTTAATGCTGAACTACATATAGCATTATCTTACATGGGTATACAGAGAAAGAAGGAGCCAAGGAAATGGCTCAGTAGTAGGCAAAACACTAGCCCTCTTAAGCCTAGCTACCTGAATTCAACGCCCAGAACTCAGGTAAAAAGAGACAGTGGCAGGCGTCTGCAGTCCCAGTGTAACGTAAAAACATGGAGACAGGAGAATCTCCTGAACTAGTCTGTAGAAGCAAGAGCAACTGACCTTGCACTTCAAAAAGGTAGAAGGCAAGAATGAACTCCTGCAAACTGTTATTTGCACATGCATGCTAAGTGTGGGTATGAGCTCTCTTTCTCTATCTCTCGCTCATACACACCCATACACGTATTTCTTAAAGAAAGATACAATTTAGATGGATATTTGGCATTTAAAGAGTGTTTCTAATATGAGGGAAGAGACACGGACACCCTGTAAATTTGTTTTGTAAGATGACAGAAAGAAAAACATAGAACACAAGCAGAAATTGCATTTCTTAAATTTAAGAATAAAATTTAAAAGTATAATCCCCATACGCTAACATTAATAATTTGGAGTTTTGCATTTTCTTTCCACTCTATGTACTAAATTATATAATACATAAATAAAAATATATATTAATATGTAAATATATACACCAACACATAAACTATATACTATATTAAATAAGCTACTTTTGTCGTTTTGCCTTAATAACTAATATTTGACATAAGTTAACTAATGTTAGATATTTAAATGTAATCTAACACTATTTAAAACAAACAGAGACAGACATATTTCCATTTACTCTATTTGCTGATGATTTTAGGATAATTTGCTAAAATAATCTTTTTCTCTTTAGATGGGTTCTTACTGTGTGATCCACAATGGTCTACAGATTCAAGTGATCCTCCTATGTCAGCCTTCAAATAGCCATGATTCTAGGTATGGGTCACTGTAGTTGGCACCCAAAAAAACTTTTAGGAGCACTTATGTGGGGGGGGGGTGGCGGCACACATCTTTAATCCCAGCAGTTAGCAGGAGGCAGAGGCAGGCAGATCTCTCTGAGTTCAAGTAAGCCTGGTCTATAGAGCTACTTCCAGGACAGCTAGGGCTATACCATAACCAAACCATACCAAGCCAAACCAAAAACAAAAGCAAAGAACAAAAGATGCAACAAACAAACAAAGACCATTTATAATGTCACCAATTTTTGCCAAGACATTTCTAAGACTGGTTATTTGTGCTTTTCTAACTTACAGAGTATTAAGTAGTGTTTAAAGCTATGTTTTACTAGGCCGGGCGGTGGTGGCACACGCCTTTAATCCCAGCACTTGGGAGGCAGAGGCAGGCGGATCTCTGTGAGTTCGAGACCAGCCTGGTCTACAAGAGCTAGTTCCAGGACAGGCTCCAAAACCACAGAGAAATCCTGTCTCGAAAAAACCAAAAAAAAAAAAAAAAAAAAAAAAAAGATAAAAATGTATTAGGTCATGGCAGATCTGCTGTGATAGCCAAACTTGCTGGTTTCAGTTTCACCCTTCCCACGGGTGACCAGAGCTGCAGACTGTTTACATCTTGTCCTGTAAAAGTTACTTCTTTCACTTGGGTAGTTCAAATGTTTCTGCTTGCTTGTTTGATACTTTCCACTGCTCTCGGAGTGGCAAGCCAGGTTTTGCTTCAAAGTATTAAACTTTAATTTCACATTTCAATAAACAGGTTTTTTGGTTTGATTTTTTGTTGTTGTTGTTGTTTTTAGAAAAGATTCAAGACTTTGAAGTCTGATACCACAACTGAAGTTAAACTAAGACTTAACAATAAAGCAAGCAGAAGCAAACAAAAGGCAACTTTTGGGAAAGAAATAACCTTTTAATTTTAATTAGCTTTGACTTTAACACACCACATACTTAAGGAGACAAAATAGAATTCAGCACCTTGGGGTGTAGAGGGTTCACATAGCCTAGACTGGCCTTGAACTGGCTACATAGCCAAGGATGACCCTGAGCTCTCATTCCTCGTACCTCTCCACCTCTCAAGTACCGAGATTGTGTGTGGGTCACTATCCCTCACTCAAACACAATTTTAAAAAGTTGAATTTACCAGAAAAAAAACTACAACAGACTCTGGATTGAGCTACGTAAAGGAACCCAAGACACATGAACAATTAGATTTCTACATTTCTATAACAACACAGTTAAGAGTAAGGTCCTGGGCTGAGCATTTTAACTCATTTAAGATGTACAATCTACAGATAAAATGAGTAATTCATTGACAGTCAGAACTAATAACCAGTGACTAGTAGCAGACAGGATTCAGATTAAGCACTACACTACAATTTCTCCCTAAAATGGGATTTAGTAACATTTAACATACTTTTAATAACTGTAAACAATCACTTTCACTCATATCTGAAAAAGAATATACCTTAAAATGAATAGCATCCTATAATTATAGGAATTTTTTTTTTCTTTTTCTGGTGGTAGTTTCTTTGACTCAATGGGGCAATGTTTTCAATGAACTGATCTAATTTCATTAGCTCTAGACGTTAGGTTAGGCCTTCATATGATGTGCACTACACTGGAGGTATCCTGAAACAATTTTGGGAACTCCACAAACCCAGGAGAGGACAGTGGTTTTCAAAACAGTTGAGCAATGTGGTACCATGTTGCAATGTGGTGTACTTAACTTGCCTAAATATGAGAAACTGTGGAGTGTATCCATTTTAATTAACCCCCTAAAACTAATAGCTGGCAAATGTTAAGACTCACAGGAACTAATAGTTAATAATTCACTCAAAACAAGACACTTAGGACACCTGCTCGATATGCTGGTGTGTACCTGGTTCTGTGTCTCTGGGGTAAGGAAGGGGAACTGCAATGCCAGGGGTAACCTGAGTGTAAAATCTTAAAAAATTTACAAATAATGATTTATCAGTCTTAAAAAGAACTTAATTAAAAACAATCAAAATACCAAAGACTATTTTAAAAGTTGAATTTACCAGAGTTTTGGAATACCAGTGTAAAATTTACAAACCTCCCTTTACCTATACATTATTTTTTTTTGGTTTTTTTAAAAAAAAAAATCTTTGTATCTGTGAAAATGTGCATGTGTGCATGTATGTTCAGAGGACAACCTTGGGTGCAGTTCTTGCCTTCCTTGTTTGAGACTGCATCCTTATTTCCTTTTTTCAGAGTGTGCCAGGTTAGCTGAAGCTCTCAAGCATTTGGGAATCCAAGGGTTCTCCTGTCTCTGCCTCCCTTACAAAAGCACTGGGACTACAGGTGAGCATGCTATCCTGTCTGGTCTTACATGGGTTCTGGGGATTCAAACTTAGTTCCTCACATTTGCACAGCATAATGTTTTGCCCGCTAAGCCATATTCCTTAGCTCCTACATTCATTTTAAGAAATACAACCAATAGTATGCATGAATTACGGCAATATTTGAAGTACATTTGAAATACTGTCAGTAATTACTCCTATACAAGTTAACACCCTTCAGTAACTGGGGGCAGATGAGAGGGATAGTGATGAAGCAATTGCATTGGACATGATAAAAGCATGCAAAAAAGGTAGGCTTCACTCTTACTTGCAGGCTATCTGGGAATTTCCTTACTAAATCTAAACAATAGTGAAGGCGGTTTACTGGATGGTCAAGACAGCAGCAGAGTAGGAAAACTTTATTGTCCACCAGCAGCGGCCAAATATGGCAAGGCTCTGCTTGCTGCTTTCAGTTCTCATACCGTATAAGTCTTCTTTGATTTTACTAATTACTAACATATATTCCTGAACTCCTTGTACAAAAGGATGAGTTTCATTGACCTTTTGATACATGTCCATCACACGGTCTGTTCATAAAACATACAAGTATGTGCCTTCCTTTCCCTTCTGTTTCCATGCTGGGGATCAAACCCAGGTTCTTGCATATGTGAGGAAAGCACTGGACCACTGGGTTACATCCTAGCCACAAGTACATTCTGTGGTCTACTTAGTGCCATGCACATTTCTGTTTCTGTTGGTGAGTGGCTCCCGAATGGTAAGTGTTGCCCAGTGTCCCTAAGTGCAAGAAGGCCATGGATAAACTTACAATGGATAAACTTCATCCAGGCATGAGTGCTACTGGCCATGAATTCAGTGCTAATTAATAAACACTATATATTAAATACGGTGTCTTTAAGTAGAAACACATAAAACAAGGTTAAGTAAGGATCAGACGATGACAATTTATGACCAGAGGCTTGAGAGGACATAATCCCTTATTTCCCTTAGGATCAAGGACTCAAAGCTTGCAACAATGCTTAGCATCTATGGAACAATACAGAACACAATTACTAGAGTACAATCCCCTTAGAGCTCTGGCTGTTTCCACATTAATATGATGGCCATCTGTGTTATTAATGCACTGTTCTACCATTTCCAGTTAGACTGACATGCTACCTTGTTTCTGGATTCTAAGGACATCATAATTGCAAGAGCCACTTATTTTTGGTCTTTTTATATATCAGATTGGGGGTACTAATTTTAATTAAATTAAGCATAAACATAAAAAGGTTGTTTCAAATGTATTCAAACTACAATATTATCATTTCTGTTAAAAGAGGCTCAATTAATATTGCTTGCATGAATTGTGACAATAGCAGTTTTATTTCTATAATTTGTTTTCTTTGCTTTATAATGTTCCAACAGTGATTATGAAAAGGCTTATCTTTTACCAGTTGGAACCAGACACCATGAACTTCAATGAATTAGAGTTTGGTAGTGCTTGCTATGTGGCTACAACTACAGTCAATGCAATCTGTCAACAAGCTTATGAAATCCTTTTTAAATCAATCTGCCCTGCCAGGAACTCTTTCAGAAGAAGCCATTTGTCTAATGGAGGCAGTCTCATTTAGTGGCATCCACGGGAAAAAAAAGGAAAAAAAAATCTGAATGTAAATCTCAGGAAACCATGGGAGTCAGGGCAGGCAAACCTCTAAGACTGTGCTTTAGATTACAGCACATCACATTTGAGAATGCATGGACATCAAGCCGGCAGAAAAAGACACTTGGCAGTTGGAAAAAAGCTCACCTGGATAACATAAAAGTCAATGAGAATCTTGCTGCTTAATAGTCAGGCTGTGGAGGTGCCTTCTGTAGGTATTTTTGAACATCTTGATCTTCTTGCTATTGTTATGTTCCGCATTCTGTTTTCCTCCTGACCTACAACCACTGTCAAATCCCTTTAAAGCAGCTTACTTCAAGCAGAGGTTGAAAACTTGAGAAGGAAGGTCAAGAGTCAAACCAAAAGAACGAGGTGGGGGCGTTGTCCGGCAAGGCTAAGTCCCTTTCTAGTGTCTGCAGGCCACAATTCTAAGCTGAACTCACACAAGAGACTTTCTTCAAATTTCCCTAAATTTGTTCCCAGCTAGTTACTCTTAGGACTCGGCGCACGCCTTTAATCCCAGCACTCGGGAGGCAGAGGCAGGCGGATCTCTGTGAGTTCGAGACCAGCCTGGTCTACAGAGCGAGTTCCAGGACAGGCTCCAAAGCCACAGAGAAACCCTGTCTCGAAAAAAAAAAAAAAAAAAAAAAAAAAAGAATGCCCTAGTTCTAATAGATTTCATCAACATCCTCATTCAGTGCTACTACTACAAATTTCAGTAACTTTCCTAAAGCTTTATTTTCAAATGCAAGAGTTCTTCTATTTTTAGTAACTCATAGTCTCTCAGCTCCCTTTCTGTCTGACCCAGTGGTACAGTTATATCTTAGACACCACACTGTAACATTATTTTCATTGAGCACTGAACCCTGGGTAGTTTTCTTTGTAGCCCAAACACCTCTTTTCAGGCCGGTATATTGTTCCATTAAACAAGTGTAGCATAATTAATATTTCACCATTTCTCACTAATGGACCTTGGGCGTTTGCCAGTTATTTACTACAACACACAATGTTTTACGTCAACATCTTGAGTTGCTTCTCTCTGAAGAGCGTTTAGAAACGCCGGACAGGACCCCAAACTAGAAAGCACCAAAACTCTAGCTTCAGGTACAAAAATATAATAACTTCCCATTAAATACAGATCAGTGACTTTAAAATTTTGGTTTCCTTTAGTGCGGAGATGACAAACCAGGAACTGGGAGGATGCAGGAAGATGCTGAATGTTGGCTTTGTGCTTATGTGTGTGTTTTAATTTTCATCTCACTAGCCTGAACCTAGACTGAAATTTAAGGGCAAGAAAGTAACTCCTCTGCCGCAGAATTTTAGCTTAGGGTACCGAACAATAACTTGACAGCTAAAGCTTGGAAACTTCAATTTGATTCTAAAGAATCTGGGGACACCAAGTTCAAAAGCCAGGTTTAAAATGTATACATGTACCTAACAAATATAACGCGAAGAACGCCACCTCTGCCGCCGCGACGGCGCCCGTGCCGGCTTCAGCCCCGCTCCACCCCGCGGCCGGAGGGGCAGGGCCGAGACTGGCTCCCCGCGGCCGCCCGTCCGCCCGGCTCTCACCTCAGCTCCTCTTCGACAGTCCGGCGGGGCTGTTCGGCCGAGGCCACCACCTGGGAAGCCGCAGAAGTCTTGTTCTTCAGGATTCCCTTGATGGGCCGGTGCGAGGCCGTCGAGGCCGCCATTGCCGGTCGCTCCGGCTGTCGGCTCAGGGTCGCTGCTGGCGTGGGGTCCTGGAGGAGAACGGGTGGGCGCGCTGAGACCCCCCAGGCGGCCGCGGAGCCCAGGCCGGGCTCAAGCAGCCGCACCCGCTGTCGCAGAAACCACTACGGGCGTCACCGTCACGACACAATGACCGCAACGCCACAGGCGACGCCGCGCGGCGGGCGGCCCTCAGCCGCCGGCACAGGAGACCGCCGCCCGCGGAGGAGGACGGACTTGTGCCCCAGCGCGGGAGCGACGCGGACGCCCAAGCCAAGCTCGGCCCGCCCTCTCGCGATATCTAGAGCGGGGCGGGGCGAGAACGAAGCCAACCCTCCGGCCCCGCCCCTTCCCGCCCCGCCCCGCCCGCCGCTCCACTGTGCTCGCCCGGGCGTCCGGGCGCAATCGCTGCGCTGTGAGTGTGTAAATCTTCCGCGAGTCTGGCTGGCTGATTTGCTGGGCGGTCAAGCATTCTCTTCCATCGCCGTATGAGGCCTTGCTACTATTTCTGTTTTATGCCAGAAAACTGAGGCTCATGGGTGACCTCATTCCTCAAAGATAAGAGACGTTAGCTGACTGAACGATGTAGCTCCCTTTTCTATGTAACTTTTGTAATAATTTTATTCTTCCTTTTTCTTTCTTTCTTCCTTCCTTTTTATTTTTAAATTTTTTTTTGAGACAAAAAGTCTTTTTATGTAGACCAGGCTGGTCTCGAACCCATAGAGATCCACCTGCCTCTGTCTCCTGAGTGCTAGGATTAAAGACCTGTGCCACCACGCCCAGTCCTCCATCATAATTTAACTCTTTGTTACAAAATCATGAGCTATCAGTATTGGAATGGTCCTCAGAGACCGATCCTGAAACCACGGAATAGTTACTTTTAAGATATAAACAGCTTGCATTAGAGGTTACCTCTCTCTACCTTTGGAGAAGCTGATGGGCGGAGAGAAGAAATCCTGCCCTTCCATGCAGCCAGTCTGTTGGATATGAAGACCACGAGAAGGCGGGGGCTAGTGGAGGACTGGAGTGGTTGCCTTTGCAACACTAGAAGCGACAAGATGCCAGAAGACAGGGGAGCCATTTGCCACAGATTGAACTCCCTGTGCCCTCAGAGGGAGCTAAATCTCCTGCACCTTAATTTAATTCAGGCCCCCAGTACATTTCTATTGCAAAAGGCTTTTTGGGTGTGAAAATTGTCCCACCTCCTCCACACCATCCAGCTGTTTCCCACCACTGTCTGGAGATCAGATTTCTCAGTGACCTACCATAGGCCAGAGTGGTCTAAGGCACAGGGAAGTGCCACCTCATCAGGTTGGCCCTACCCCGCTGGAACCTTAGAGCCGGCTAGGTGTCTTGTAGGGACTTTGCCCATCCCATGACCTGGTTATCTAGCCACTAGAGAAGCCCAAGCTCCCTCCCTTCCCCCAGCTCTGATTCAGGAAGCCTAGATAGCTGTGGAGGGAGAGGCAAGGCTCTACTTAAGTTTTAAGTGGTAATCTCAGAATGAGACTTCTGCTTCGGCATCTGGGGACAATGCTCGGTCTGCTGTCTTTAGGACTCTGTTCCTGGGAACAGCCTCAGGTTTCCTGACCGGGTTCAGATTTTCCAGGCTGGCCCCTGGCTGAATTTCTGCCAGGGGAAGGCCTCCAAATGGGAAGGAATGCGGCTGGAGATAGTGGAGAGGAAGTGTTCAGGAAGGTGAGAGGGGAAGTGGCTTGGCTGGCCAGAGAGCTAAGTGTGTCCTGGGGTTTCTGAGGCAAAGCCATGACAGCAGTCCTTGGCTGGGGGCCCACCTCTGTTCCCAGTCCAGTGTTTCCTATTGCCCTCCTCCCTCCTGCACTGGGATCTTCCAGCAAATCCTGTGGCAGAGCCTGTCAGCCAGGTCTAAGGCAAGGGCAAGACCGTTGCAGGCCTGGGAGAGCCTAGCTCAGCACTGATAATCCTGTTTTCGAGAGAAGACACAACACTTTTCTTTATGTTCATAATTATTGGGTCATTCGCTTTGTTCCTGCTTGGCCAAATGGAATTTGTGACTAGGCTCATAATTAAGCATCGCCAGACTCGGAGAAAGAAGCTCTCCAATGAACAGGCTACCGCAGCTAGACGCGATGGGTTTTAATACAGTAAGCTAAACGTCGCTGGCCTGGAAAGAGCTCTCTGGGGAGCCCTTGGGAAATCTTCCCCTCATCAAAGCCAGAGTTGTGCTTCATTCTGATCTGTGCTCGATCCCACTAACCGTGAATACAGATGGAAATTCCTAACCCGGAAAGCAGCCTGGGAGTTTGGCTAAAAGATGATGGCATCTGTCCACGTTTCCCTCCTATGTTCGTGCGGTCGACTCTACTCCTCAGAGGAGCCAGATCATCTCCACAGGCCTCCAAACAGGTCTCCCTCCTGGCTCCTCAGGTAGTCCTTGGAGGAGGTCATCTGGACCAAACAGCACAAACACCACATTTGACAGCATCTGGGCTACACTTCCTGCCTGATGGCCATGAGGTGGAATCTTCCGTTCTGGATTCCGTTTCTAGACGCAGCTTTGACGCGTAAGGCAAATCACCAACACCATTTTAGAAAAAATTAGGGCCGGTTCAGTGGGTGTGGTACCGGCTGCCAAACCTGACCTGAGCTTGATCACCAGGACCCATATGGTAAGGAGAGAACCAAACCCCACAAGTTGTCCTCCGACCTCCACACACGTACATACACACTCACACACACAAACATATACACACATACACATACACATAGCACACACACTAAATGAGGTGTAATTTTAAAAAATAAACGTATAGCAGGGTTGTCTGCCAGTCATTTCTGTTCTTGTTTGAAGATTTTATGGTGGCTGCCTGACCCAACGCTGTATAGAGGAGGGGAAGGACTATTCTTTTAAGGCGCCCCATCAGCCTGTGACTGAGTCGGTTGACTTTCTGTCCCTTGGAATGGACCACTCCCCCTGTGAGCAGAATCCTAAATTCCAAAGCTGGAAATGGCTTTCAGTGGCTGGTTCCATCCTGGCTGCCTAGGCCCTCTCCCTCAGGTCCACAAGGGTGCCCCACCCCAACCTCTGAAAACTACCCAGAGGTTATGACTTAATGACCACTGAATCAGGAGTGGCCCTTTGCCAGGAATAGCACAGTGTCCTCTTTCTTCACAGGTAATTCCTCCCTGGGCAGGAAGATCACAGATTTTGCAGGGGCAACATTATCTGATCAAAATACAAAAAGTTTTAGAAAGGGAGCGGGAGCCCCAAAGGGTGCCAGAACAGAGATTAATTACTCCCTGCCTGAGAAGCGGCTTTGATGTGCTGTGAGCCTCTCCTGGTGCTCTTCAAAGACAGAATGCCGCGGAAGCTTGAGAGCAGCCCGGACACAGCATATGCCCTTCTCAGGACACAGCTTTCACGAGCCTCCGCGCACTTCCTGACCCTCTGAGAATGAGCTAAGCCCACAGAATCTGGACAAGTAGTCTCGTTCAAAGCCTGCGAGAGCAAAACCGGAAAGAGGAAGACTAAGCCACGGCGATTTGGGGAGTTGTTAGCAAGAAATGGATCTTAGGTTTTGGCTAAACTGAGTTTATCTTGTGCTGGCTAGAAATCACTCCGGCTTTTGTTTGTTTGTTTGGTTGGTTGGTTTTGTTTTGTTTTGGGCTTGATTTTGTTTTTTGGGGACTGAAAAATTTCCATACTTATTCACTGATTTGGTCTGTAAATTACTGAAAAAAGTAAGCAAACAATGACATATAGTTAGCTTCATTGTATAAATTGGATCAGATTTGATTGCATTTTATTCTATAAACTCATAATGCGATAAGGAGTAGACCTTGATTCCAAATACAGAGAATGGGGTGTGCTGGGGGTGGAGGGCGTGTTCTGAGCAGAGACCAGGCCCTGGGTTCCATCTCCGACCCCATCCCCACCTACTCACACAAAAGTAACAGGGCTGGGGAGGTGGCTCAGTGAGTTAAGGCACTTGCCACCAAGCCCGGTGATCTGAGTTGCCTCTAGAGACCCACATAGTGGGAGGAGAGAAGGAACTCCCACTGATGGTTCTTTGGCCTCCACATGCATGTTATGACATATATATATATTATATATGTGTGTGTGTGTGTGTGTGTGTACTACATCACATGTGCACACACACAAATGTAAGTAAAATCAAACAGCAACAAACCCAAGAATACATATGATGTACGTGTAAATACTTTAAAGTAGTGTTTATAGCGGGAAATCTTTTCTACTCTGCTTGCATTTATCCTACTTTGATAAGTAATTTTAATCAAGTATGTTATTTTATTCTTTCATTTGATCATTTGTAAGGTCTGGATACTCCACTTTGTCCACTTGTCTTTATGGTACTCTCATATTTCTAAGAAACTGGATTACAAACCGCTTTGTAGAAATTAACCGCTTCACCCGTAGACATGTTAAAGGTCAGGGCCCTCAGGGCCTCTCTCCTCTATTTGCTAAAGGACTAAGCTTTTAAAAGGACTGCTCACCACGTAGGCTAAAGTCGGAGCGCCATGGGCCCTCCCAAACTGGCTTCATCTTTCTCCAGGCTCATTTCTTCTCTAAAACAATACTTTCATTAATTTTCGAGACAGTTATGCAATGTATTTTGATCCTATTCATCCTTCCCTCCTTCTCTCTCTCTCTCTCCCTCCCTCCTTCCCTTAACTTCTTCCCTCCCTCCCCCAACTCCCTCTCCCACCCCTAACTCCCTACCCACCCAACCTGTTTTCTCCTCTCTTTCTCTCTCCTTTGTTTTTGTCCATCACAGACTCCTTTCTCTTCACACACCCTTTCTTTACCTACATTCTTTGCGCTGATTGCCTGGTTTACATGGCTCATCTTACATACTAGCATTATTTTGGGGTCCATCTCTCACAGTGGCCCTTGTCTTCTATTCTCCAACAGACAAACTTCATGAGCATGGTGTCTGCATAGAAATTCTCAACAAGTATTGGGTGAATTGGGAAATAAATGAAAAAAATCATCTCAACAGCCCCTATCTGTAACGGCTTCCAATATTTTTTTTTTTCCATATCTCCAATCCAGACCATCCCAGGGCACAAAAGAACTGACCTTTCACTGTGTCTCGTATTTGGGAGTTTTCTGGTGTCTTGAATGAAAACTGAAGCCAAAGGGGGGTGAGGGTATGTATTGGTAGTAAAATGCACACTTCGTGGGCACAAGGCTCTGGGTTTAATACCCAGCACCTCCCCTGAAAAAGAAGCCTATGTGAAAACTAACTTTTCCTCCATATATTTTAACATGGCACTTGTACTATTCTT